ATATATATATATATATATATATATATATATATATATATATATAAGGCACAACTCTCCTAAACACGAGAGTGAAGTATACAACTTATGCCAGTTGCTGGAAGGCTTCTGTGCTGGCGAGGGTTCGAGTCTCGTTGTGGGAAAGTGTTCTAAAGTTATATATATATATTTTTATATATATATATATATATATATATATATATATATATATATATATATATATTATATATATATATATATATATATATATATATATATATATATATATATATATATATATATATATATATATCACGATAAAATATCTAGTTAGAGATTCTGCCTGCTCCATCATAACCCATTCTACCCATATCAAATCTATATATTCAAGTACTGCATCAACAACAATAACAACTATAACTAAGTATTTTTAATTTTTTGTTCTGTATGTTTTCTCCTACAGTTAACCTCACAGTGAAGACAACTTGCAGTTTAACTTTTTTTACTTTTAGTTTTACTCTTGTGACTGGCATTCCATCTGCCTAGAGAAGAATGCAATAACAACTATTTTTACCATCACAAATTGGGGGCCTGTCCGGGAGAAGCCTTTTCCTATGTCAGAAGTTCAACTTCTCCTGGGCAACGACTTGGCAGAAGATCAACAACCTGCGAATGTAATCATTAAGGAAGCTCCCCAGGTATGTGACTCGGCAGTGGAAAATCCTGTTTTGCAGTTGGTTGAAGATGCCCAGTCAAACGATTCTGACGACGTCTTCCCTCCTGTTATGGTGATGAAGTGGACCACAGCTGCTCACCTGAAATCAGCTGCTGCAGCTGTTCCTCAAGATCCTCCGAGTCTCCCACCAAATCTCACAGTGCTGGAGTTGCATAAGTTGCAGAGAGAGGATCCCTCATTAATATCTTTATTCTTACAGGCTGAGACACAACCTAACTCTATCCCTGGTTTCTTTGTAGAAAATAAAGTGTTGTACCAGCATTATAGAACGAGGAAATTGAAGGAGAACGACGATCGGGCCAACGTCAAACAACTGGTAGTTCCCAGACAGCCTACGATCAGATATCTTGCATCTGGTCAGGGGATCTCGCTCACACTACGGCTTTTATAAGACTTACAAGGCCCTGAAGCAGGACTACTACTGGCCAGGTATGATTCGAGATATCAAAAGCTTTGTTAAGAATTGTCACATGTCTCAGATGACAGGTAAGCCGAACGCTCCTCTATTAAAGGCACCAATGATGCAGGTACCAGTGTCTTCTGAGCCGTTCAGCCATACCATCAACAACCATGACAAGCCTCTGTCCCAGACAAGCTCAGGTAATATTCCTTTATATACTATCCATGTTCTACAATCAGATATTCTACAGCAGTTTCCGTCCAGAACAGTACGGCTGCTGACGTTGTGAAGCACCTTGGGAATCGGTGCCCGCAGTACAGACACCGTGAGGAAAGGCAGAAAACGTGTGATACCATCTCCTCCAACGACCTGCGTAAGACAACCAACATCACCAAGGTATTGACTAATTCTCCTCGTTGTACTTGGTCTGACTACAATGGTTCTAAATTCCTGATCTATTCCAACACCCGGAAAGATCCTTCTCTCTACGAACCAAATCCAAATAAACGTGCTCCTCCAGACAACTTTACCAGCCCTCAGCTAAAATATTGTAAGACAAACTTGCCTTCAATTGCATTTGAAAGGCGTTAATCCCTGTATAGTACTAACTCCATTCTCGCCCTGCCAGGTACTAGAAAACCTTCAGTCTTCCACCCTGGCGATAGGAACACCATCACACCACCGCGAGATGGGATCATGAACTATAGCTACCGTCATCAGAGAGGAGCCACTCAATATCCTGCCTGATGTGCAACACAACGATCTACTAGGATACAACACCTAGTAGACTAGGTTGTAACCTAGTCTACTAGGTTACAACTTCAATCTCTTCTCGGACTTCAACATTCTTTGGCCCCTACATCAGGATCAGTTCTCGAAACCTCGCTGAATCCTGCATCACCTTGTGAACATCATATTTCACAATCTCCTTCGGTTCCTACTGCTACTACTCCAATCGGCGCTTGCTACGCTAGGCCTTGCATCAGAGGAACAATCTCACCCTCTCCTTGGATCACCATTCTCGTCGATCCATTCAGCAGGCTCGATTCTACAGCAAATTCATACTTCACAGAGTCCTGCAGTGCTACCTCAACAGCTTCAAGCACCATCCTCTCCAGCTTCTGCAGCAGACCCAGTTCACCAACCAACATCTACTTCACTGGGCCCTGTACCTGCAGAACTTCAACATCACCATCTACTTCATCCAAGGCTCGGACAACATCGTCGCCAACGCACTTTCGCGAGTCCACGGGATTGACTCATCCACTCCTACTATCCTACACTCTGCTGCAGTCGAAAAGGCAATAGGAGCAGGCTTCGGGGGAGAGCTGTCACGGTAAAATGTCTAGTAAGAGATTCGGCCTGCTCCATCATAACCTATTCTACCCATATCACGTCTCTATATTCAAGTACTGCAGCTACAACAACTACTACTACTTCCAGACGACTAGACAGTACTACCAGTCTTCCCTCTTCACCACTGCCATCACCCCACCACGCACCTGGCAATGCCAGGAGCAATGCCAATGGGAGCCGGTCGGCCGAGCGGACAGCACGCTGGGCTTGTGAACCTGTGGTCCTGGGTTCGATCCCAGGCGCCGGCGAGAAACATTGGGCAGAGTTTCTTTCACCCTATGCCCCTGTTACCTAGCAGTAAAATAGGTACCTGGGTGTTAGTCAGCTGTCACGGGCTGCTTCCTGGGGGTGGAGGCCTGGTTTTGTTCAAGGATGAGTAAAGTGATTGTAAGTTAGTACGAGGGTGCGTCGTTCATCCTGCCTTCACTTTCTCATTAACACCTGGCTAAGAGGGAATAGGAACAGACGCAGGAGATGGAACAGAAGGAGGAGGAAGAGGAGAAGAACGAGTGTTAAGGAAAAGGGTGGACAACTTAGACATAAATGCCGGGTGGAATGTTATAAGTATTCTCTTAATCGGTGAGTGAAAGAGAAGTGAAAGCAGCAAGTGAGCAGAGGAAGAGGAGGAAGGGGGTGAGAAGAGGAGAGGGGGGGATAAAGGGGGAAACCGAGTAGAAGAGAAGAGGTAAAATGCAAATAGAAAAAATTGACAGCTTCGTTGGCGTGGCAGCTTCAGCAAGTCCGTAAAGCCCTCATGTTAAATCCATTGAATCTGACTGTTCAACCACTCATACTTTTCATAACTCACACTCATACTTTCTATCTCAATTCATGATTGCGGTGAAGGTTAAGCTACCTGTAGATGTTCTCAAATTTGTTGACGCAACGGAACTGATCTTTGGACATCATCAAACTTGTGTCCATGAACGTGAGAGAGGTGAGAAGATATATATATATATATATATATATATATATATATCTTACTTTTTCGGTCATATTTAATATAATATATATATATATATATATATATATATATATATATATATATATATATATATATTAAATATGACCGAAAAAGTAAGATTAATAATTCTAACACGAATTTTCTCAATCTTTCGTACATTATGCTTCACTGTTGGAGGTAAATCAAAAATCACTTCTCCAAAATTCATTTTTATTTCTAGTCTGACGCGACACGGGCGCGTTTCGTAAAACTTATTACATTTTCAAAGACTTCACAAATACACAACTGATTAGAACTTGCGTTTCCCTGATTTTATATCTACATTTGAGTGAGGTGGGAAGGGTGATGTGGCATTACATTTGAGTAAGGTGGGAAGGATGATGTGGCATTAGAGGATATTAATAGGGTACTAAAAGTATCAACACAAGACAGAACACGAAACAATGGATATTGAATAGAAGTGTTTGTAGAAAGCCTATTGGTCCATATTTCTTGATGCTTCTATATTGGAGCGGAGTCTTGAGGTGGGTAGAATATAGTTGTGCAATAATTGGCTGTTGATTGCTGGTGTTGACTTCTTGATGTGTAGTGCCTCGCAAACGTCGAGCCGCCTGCTATCGCTGTATCTATCGATGATTTCTGTGTTGTTTACTAGGATTTCTCTGGCGATGGTTTGGTTATGGGAAGAGATTATATGTTCCTTAATGGAGCCCTGTTGTTTATGCATCGTTAAACGCCTAGAAAGAGATGTTGTTGTCTTGCCTATATACTGGGTTTTTTGGAGCTTACAGTCCCCAAGTGGGCATTTGAAGGCATAGACGACGTTAGTCTCTTTTAACTAACCTATAAAGATAGGTTAGGTTAGGTAGGGTTGGTTAGGTTCGGTTATATATCTATGTTAATTTTAACTCCCAATATATATATATATATATATATATATATATATATATATATATATATATATATATATATATATATACACATATATATACATATATATATATATATATATATATATATATATATATATATATATATATATATATATATATATATATATATATATATATATATATAATTAATTTAAATACGTGATTATTTTATTGTTATTATCTCTCCTCCTTATCACCCACACCTTCTCCATCTCTTCCTTCTCCCCCTTCCCTCATTCTCCCCATCCTCTCTCTTCCAAGTTTCTCTCTCCCTCTCGTCCAATATCCACACCCCAGCCTCCGGAATCACTATTATCAAGACTCACGAACCAAAATACTGCCGTGTTATTCCCTGCGAGGGAAGCCCAAGGATGTCCAAGGAGCTGCTTATCAGCTACCCACAAAGGTAGGTACCTTTGAGGTACCAACCTTTGAGGTTGGTACCTCACCAGCTACCTACATAGAAAAAAACCACAAGGAAGCATTTATCAGCTGGGGACTTTTTTTATCTAATATTTTCTTAACCCCTTAACTGCTGACTTATTGTATAGTTCTATGTCCAGATGGTCATGGGGAAGAAAGTATTGATATGTATAAAGATCAATTCCTTATGGAGATTTTGTGCATAGAAGGAAGTCACAGATAACGATTTGAGCAATCGTACGGGTTAAGATAAAAAGAATCATGCATGACGAATGTGTGGGTGAGAGGCACGAATGTGTGGGTGAGAGGCACGAATGTGTTGGTGAGAGGCACGAATGTGTTGGTGAGAGGCACGAATGTGTGGGTGAGAGGCACGAATGTGTGGGAGAGAGGCACGAATGTGTTGGTGAGAGGCACGAATGTGTTGGTGAGAGGCACGAATGTGTAGGTGAGAGGCACGAATGTGTGGGAGAGAGGCACGAATGTGTGGGAGAGAGGCACGAATGTGTTGGTGAGAGGCACGAATGTGTTGGTGAGAGGCACGAATGTGTTGGTGAGAGGCACGAATGTGTTGGTGAGAGGCACGAATGTGTTTTTCTAAATTTTTCTAAATTTGTAGAAAACTAAAATTTTAAATTATTAAAAACAAAAAAATTTGATTTTTTTATGAAAGATGAGTTTTGCTGAGTCCTATATTGATTTTGAACTATGAATGGTATGAGTGATCTTTTTTTTAATGAAAGAAATAATTGAACTGTCCCCTAATATGTGTTTCTATAGGTAGAGTTTGTTTGTGCACATAATTTATCGTGCAAACAATAGTTTTAGGAGAGTTTAAAAGTATATTAAGGAAATTGGGACAATTCACGTAATATACATTAATAGGGAAAGTGTGACCCACACACAAATAATAATTGGATAAGAGAAAAAATAAGGTTAAAGACATGCGCGAAAAAAAATAGATAACGTTTTGATTGTCATTTGATATAGGGAACGTAAAAGAAGAATCTATTATGTTGACCAGACCACACAGTAGAAGGTGAAGGGACGACGACGTTTCGGTCCGTCCTGGACCATTCTCAAGTCGATTGTGACATTCTCAAGACAATCGACTTGAGAATGGTCCAGGACGGACCGAAACGTCGTCGTCCTTTCACCGTCTAGTGTGTGGTCTGGTCAAACTACTTCAGCCACGTTATTGTAACTCATCACCTTCAATCTTCAATGTCGTTCTACGTTCCTCTTTATCATCATGAATAGGTAGGAAGACGTAGTCTCGCAAACGTGTCATAGAGAAACTAGACACGAAAATGTTTCATAGAGAACCAACACATGCAAATGTGTCATAGAACCATCAAATACAAGTATTTCAGTGCCTGAGTGCCTACAAGCTTCTCTAGGCGAAGCCACAACCAGAGGCGTCCACAACCACAACCAGGGGCGTCCACAACCACAACCAGGGGCGTCCACAACCACAACCAGTGGCATCCACAACCACAACCCGGGGCGTCCACAACCACAACCAGTGGTGTCCACAACCACAACCAGGGGCGTCCACAACCACAACCAGTGGCGTCCACAACCACAACCAGTGGCGTCTACAACCACAACCAGTGACGTCCACAACCACAACCAGTGGCGTCCACAACCACAACCAGTGGCGTCCACAACCACAACCAGTGACGTCCACAACCACAACCAGTGGCGTCCACAACCAGGGGCGTCCACAACCACAACCAGTGGCGAACACAACCAGTGGCGTCCACAACCACAACCCGGGGCGTCCACAACCACAAGGTGGGCTTCAGGACCTGGCCGCCAGACGGCCATAAAGACACACAACATTGGTATAATTCTTCACTTAAGAGCAAACTGCGCCCCTCCCATAAGAAAGAGTCGAGGCTTCATGTAAATTGTGTACCGGCTTGGAGAGTTTCTCCATCTACAGTGGAAGAGGGCGGAGACCTCTGGGCTTGGAGAGTTTCTCCATCTACAGTGGAAGAGGGAGGAGACCTCTGGGCTTGGAGAGTTTCTCCATCTACAGTGGAAGAGGGCGGAGACCTCTGGGCTTGGAGAGTTTCTCCATCTACAGTGGAAGAGGGCGGAGACCTCTGGGCTTGGAGAGTTTCTCCATCTATAGTGGAAGAGGGAGGAGACCTCTGGGCTTGGAGAGTTTCTCCATCTACAGTGGAAGAGGGAGGAGACCTCTGGGCTTGGAGAGTTTCTCCATCTACAGTGGAAGAGGGAGGAGACCTCTGGGCTTGGAGAGTTTCTCCATCTACAGTGGAAGAGGGAGGAGACCTCTGGGCTTGGAGAGTTTCTCCATCTACAGTGGAAGAGGGAGGAGACCTCTGGGCTTGGAGAGTTTCTCCATCTACAGTGGAAGAGGGCGGAGACCTCTGGGCTTGGAGAGTTTCTCCATCTACAGTGGAAGAGGGAGGAGACCTCTGGGCTTGGAGAGTTTCTCCATCTACAGTGGAAGAGGGAGGAGACCTCTGGGCTTGGAGAGTTTCTCCATCTACAGTGGAAGAGGGCGGAGACCTCTGGGCTTGGAGAGTTTCTCCATCTACAGTGGAAGAGGGTGGAGACCTCTGGCCTAGGAGAGTTTCTCCATCTACAGTGGAAGAGGGAGGAGACCTCTGGACTTAGAGAGTTTCATTCAAAAATAGAATTGGTTTCGAAACTCCTCTCGTGGACGGACTTCAAACGGTACTATTTTGAGAAGATATAACACATTCAAAGAGACATATATGCATCTTAACTAACCATTACCCGTTAAATCATGGTAAAATCAACACCACAACGAAGCTATTGATTCTAAGACAGGCATGTCAAACTGAGGGTCCCCCGAGGGCCATGTGGGCCACATTTGTGTTGTCATGAGGGCCACACACCACAACTGAGGGTCCCCCGAGGGCCATGTGGGCCACATTTGTGTTGTCATGAGGGCCACACACCACAACTGAGGGTCCCCCGAGGGCCATGTGGGCCACATTTGTGTTGTCATGAGGGCCACACACCACAACTGAGGGGCCCCCGAGGGCCATGTGGGCCACATTTGTGTTGTCATGAGGGCCACACACCACAACTGAGGGGCCCCCGAGGGCCATGTGGGCCACATTTGTGTTGTCATGAGGGCCACACACCACAACTAATTGAAGTCATTTAATAAAAATTATTGCAGAATATTTTTATTACTTAAACTTAATATTTTTATTACTTAAGTAATATTTTCTTACTAAATATTAGTAAGTAATATTTGTAATAATATTTTAATAATATTATTCAAAATTAGTAATATTTTTATTACTTAAACTTAGAAAAAGACAATATGCATACAAATGGCTTAGCAGCTAGCTATATTTATGAATGCAAAGTAATGAAGTAGTTTAACAACAAACAAATTATAATTTTTAATCGGCAACATAGACATCTATGTAACAGCAACAAATACATTGCTCAAAAATTATAACAGTTCAAAATGAACATTTATTTGCGACTATTTATTCATTTTTAGTCTTTTGTCCTGAAGCTTCACACCTCATTTCAATGCCAATTTTTTGCTATGTCTGGCTGAAATGTCTGAGCAGTTCCCACTTTGATCAGAAATGACAAGTGCTGATCAATCAGCCTTGTTCTCTGAGACCCTTTTGTTGATTTCCTGAAGGAAAATAACTATTCACTCACGCAGGAGGACCCGAACATTGTCATAATCCTTGTGGCAAACTTTCTGAAGTTTTAAAATTTTTCAGAACGACATGAAGAGAAACCAGGTATTCCCACTTCAAGATACTTTGCTCTGAGTGTAAAATCCGACTGCATTTCTAATAGTTTCTAATTTCTTCTAGTTTCTAAAATTTCTAATAATTTCTAATCTGCAGGCGTTCTTCTGCCTTGGTAACATCAAAGGTGCATGGTGCTGAGAATACTGCAAAGAGGTGTTAAAATGGTGTTAAAACTGGTGATATTTTATTTGATAAAATAGGTAATTTTGCCGTAAAATTACCAAATTACTGTTTCCTTTGTGTGGGCCGCAGGTTTGACATGTCTGGAATCTAGGGTGTAGGGTGACAGTCCAGCCTGTCTTTAGGTTTGTCCCCCATTGAGAGACACTACACGATTTCTTCAGCCCTGGGAACTGCGGTCAGAGAAGGATATCAGCTCTCAGGTAAGGATATCATGTGCCAGACACAGACATCAGCAGTCAGATGAAGATATCATGCCCCCCAAACAACAATATCACCTGTCTAACGCAAGGATATCACTTGCCTGACACAAGGATATTTCTCTCTTTCAGTTCCTGCTACTCTCACCAGCGTCTGTGACACACACACACACACACACACACACACACACACACACACACACACACACACACACACACACACACACACACACACACACACGGGGGGGGGCCTGGTAGCCTGGTGGATAGCGCGCAGGACTCGTAATTCTGTGGCGCGGGTTCGATTCCCACACCAGGCAGAAACAAATGGGCAAAGTTTCTTTCACCCTGAATGTCCCTGTTACCTAGCAGAAAATAGGTACCTGGGTGTTAGCTGTCACGGGCTGCTTCCAGGGGTGTGAGAGTGTATGTGGTGTGGAGGAAAAAAAAGTAGTTGATTGACATTTGAGAGGCGGACCGAAAGAGCAAAGCTCAACCCCTGCAAACACAACTAGGTGAATACACACACACACACACACACACACACACACACACACACACACACACACACACACACACACACACACACACACACACACCAGAGTGCCAGGAATGAATATGTCAGAATGAGAAGAGAGGCAGAAAAACAATACGAAAATGACATCGCAAGCAAGGCAAAGACTCAGCCTAAATTGCTGCACAGCCACATCAGGAGAAAAACAACAGTAAAGGAACAGGTTAGGAAATTATGGATAGGGGCAGAAGGATTCACTACAAAAGACAAGGAAGTGTGTGAGGAACTGAATATGAAATTCCAGGAGGTCTTCACTTTAGAGCAGGGAGAAATTCCAGAGATAAGAGAGGGAATAGTTAACCAGGAACCACTAGAAGAGTTTGAGATTACCAGTCGGGAAGTAAGGAAGTGTTTACTAGAGTTGGATGTGACAAAGGCTATAGGCCCAGATGGAATCTCCCCTTGGATACTAAAGGAAAGAGCAGAAGAACTGTGCCTGTCACTCTCCATAGTGTATACCAAATCACTGGCAACAGGGGAACTGCCAGAAATTTGGAAAGCAGCTAATGTAGTCCCGATATACAAGAAAGGGTTTAGACATAAGGTACTGAACTACAGGCCTGTGTCCCTAACCTGCATACCATGCAAGCTGATGGAGAAGATTGTGCGAAAAAAACTAGTGGAACAACTGGAGCGAAAGAACTTTGTAACACAACATCAACATGGGTTCAGGGATGGCAAGTCATGCCTCACAGGGTTATCTGAATTCTACGACCAGGCAACAAAAATCAGGCAAGAAAGAGTGGGATGGGCAGACTGCATATTTTTGGATTGCCAGAAAGCCTTTGATACAGTGCCACACAAGAGGCTAGTGAAAAAGCTGGAGATGCAGGCTGGAGTGAAAGGGAAAGTACTCCATTGGATAAGGGAGTACCTACGCAACAGAAGACAACGAGTCAGTGTGAGGGGTGAGGTTTCAGATTGGCGAGACGTTACGAGTGGAGTCCCGCAGGGGTCAGTCCTTGGACCTATACTGTTTCTGATACATCTAAATAATCTCCCAGAGGGTATAAACTCGTTTCTCTCAATGTTTGCAGATGATGCAAAAATTATGAGGAGGATTGAAACAGAAGATGATAGTAGGAGGCTACAAGGTGACCTAGACAGACTGAATGAATGGTCCAACAAATGGCTGCTAAAATTCAACCCGAGTAAATGCAAAGTAATGAAACTAGGCGGTGGAAACAGGAGGCCAGACACAGGATACAGAATAGGAGATAAAGTACTTAATGAAACGGACAGAAAGATCTAAGAGTTGATATCACACCAAACCTGTCTCCTGAAGCCCACATAAAAAGAATTACGTCTGCGGCATATGCGAGGCTGGCTAACATCAGAACAGAAACATCAGGAACCTGTGTAAGGAATCACTCAAAATCTTGAATACCACTTATGTAAGACCAATCCTGGAGTATGCGGCCTCAGCATGGAGCCCGTACCTTGTCAAGCACAAGACGAAGCTGGAAAAAGTTCAGAGGTATGCCACTAGACTAGTCTCAGAACTAAGAGGCATGAGTTACGAGGAAAGGCTGCGAGAAATTCACCTTACGACACTGGAAGACAGAAGAGTAACGGGAGACATGATCACTACCTACAAAATCCTCAGGGGAATCGAAGGGTAGACACGGATAAACTATTCAACACGGGTGGTACGCGAACAAGAGGACACAGGTGGAAGCTGAGTACTCAAATGAGCCACAGGGACGTAAGAAAGAACTTTTTCAGTGTCAGAGTTGTTAACAGATGGAATGTATTAGGCAGTGATGTGGTGGAGGCTGACTCCATACACAGTTTCAAATGTAGATATGATAGAGCCCAGTAGGCTCAGGAATCTGTACATCAAGTTCAAGTTCAAATGTGTTTATTGAGACAAGAAAGAAATACATCTCAAAGGGATAGAGTAGCTTAGGCTATTTCTATCCCGTACACCAGTGACTGACAGTCGAGAGGCGAGACCAAAGAGCCAAGTCTGAACCCCCGCAAGCACAACTAGGTGAGTACACACACACAGCTCGCAACACCCAGTTACTATTTACTACCCAACCCGTCCTCGACTCAAGTCCAATCCATTCAGCGGCCAACCCCACAGACGCATTCATAAATTTTAACATGTTATTCATTCAGAGCGGGAATTTTCTCAAACATAAATTAATATTATAATATATTAGCATACTCTGCATATATTGGCATAGGTTAGGTTAGGTGTTTAGGTTCTGTTGGCGATTATTTGTATTTGTAGTACGTGAGTGAAGCATTTATAGCGTTGTGGTTCGAACAAAAGTCGTCAGTGAAGCACTTGTTCCGGAAGTGTTCGGACGTCATCAGTTGTGAGTCGTGTGTAAACCGTTTATCATTCATAAACAGGGGGTCTGGCGGGTGGATGGAATCACTTTTGGATCTTTGTTTGGAGGACGGGCTGGAAATGTAATGGACTTGAGTCGAGAACGGGTTGATTTGTTAGTCTCAGCCGGGAGTCGAACCCGTGGACTGCAAATCCAGAATACTGTCCGCTACTTTGGCTTCAGCATATCCGGAGCACCGTACTGACTGACCACTCCGTAAAAATTCCAGCTGTTTTGACTAAGCAGAAACGAACTAACCCAAGCAGCCCACCTAACCCGTCGAGGTCCAGGTATTGAAAAAGACAACATTAACTCACTTTTTACTAATATTTTTTATGTTTAATGGATAGGTCGATTACGTGATAAATACGACGTAATAGATGAGAGAACTGGTTGGTGATGACTGAGGGCCGATGATCCGCCTCCTCCTCTTCCTCCTCCTCCTCCTCTTCCTCCTCCTCTTCCTCCTTCTCTTCCTCCTTCTCTTCTTCCTCTTCCTCCTCCCGTCCACACAGTCTAGACTGTGCAGACTCTGACCCAGCCATGACTCGGCCTGACCGGAGCCGGTCGGCCGAGCGGACAGCACGCTGGACTTGTGATCCTGTGGTCCCGGGTTCGATCCCGGGCGCCGGAGAGAAACAATGGACAGAGTTTCTTTTACCCTATGCCCCTGTTATCTAGCAGTGAAATAGGTACCTGGGTGTTAGTCAGCTGTCACAGGCTGCTTCCTGGGGGTGGAGGCCTGGTCGAGGACCGGGCCGCGGGGACACTAAAAGC